AGCATCAGCGAGTTGCACGGCCGTTTCGCCGGAGAAGGCGACGCTTTCCTCGCCGAATTGGGCTTTGGCTCCCCCCCCTGGCAGGCCTGGTGGACCCCGGGAGTCTTGCTCGCGATGATCCTCCTCCTGCGGATCGGCATGATCGTCTGCAGCTTGCATTTGAATTTTGAAAAGCGGTAGGGCGCAGGCGGTCGGGAAGGAGGGAAAGAGACAGGGGTCAGAATGCTTGTGGTAGCGCCTCAGAGACATCGTGGGAGTGGGGGGGGGGAAGCTCGAAAAGGAGGGATGGGGTTGGAAGGACTCAGGGGCGGGCGACAGCCTCGTCGCATCCTCCGCGAGGCCCCTCTGTCTCCTCGCCTGCCTTGTAAGGATCTGATGGTGCGGTAGGGCCTGAGAAGACCGCGACTACCTCCGTGCCCAGTCAAGGCGAATCAAAATCACCCCAAAGGACGACGAAATGAGCAACAAATGAAGCGTCGCGGCACGGAGAGGATAGGTTCTTTCCCCTCTACACCCGGTCGCATCCATCCATGGCACGTCTATGGCTTTCCTTTCCATATTCTGCGCCCCTCCCTCGGGACCCTGGCCCATATCCTTCCCTCCCCAACACACCTATGAACACAAGCCTCCTCTCTCGACCCCCTCCTGATCCCGACTTTTTAATGCTTGTCACTTCCTTCAATAGCTCAAGTCATGCACATCTCCTTCCTCCATTGCAAGTGTTCCGCCCCATGTTTATTTACACGCCTCCCTCCCCCCGGGCCTCCAGCAGCGCCTGCACCATGTCCCGCAAGGTCTCCTCTGGCGCCCGTAACGGCCGTCCCAACAACCTCTCGGCCTTTCGGACGTCGAACACTTTCTTGCTTGTCGCCCTAGGAGATCCTTCGCCCCGGGGAAGTTGGGGGAAACGGTCGGGGAAATAACGGTCGATAACGGCCGAGACCCAGGCGGGCGTTACGGTGTGGGACGAGGAGACGATATAGCTGGGGGAGAGGGAGGAAGGGGAGTTAAGGTTCGTGGGTGAGCATGAGGGCGCTAGGTAAGCTGCCATTCCCGAAAAGCAAGAAAAACGGCGACGACGAGCAAGGGAAAGAATAAAGGAAGGGAAGGAAGGAAGGAGGGAGGACTCCCACCTCCTTCAACCTGATCTCTCTCCTATACT